CCTTTCAGTAGAGAAAAGAATTATTTAGCTCATGATTTCCCAGCAAAAGAAGTCAGTTGTGGCTGTCTGGAAGCCAATGGCAGCATCACTGGCATGCCCTGGGAGAGGGAGGTTTTGTCAAAGCACACCAGGCAGGGAAGTTCTCCACCTCCCCTGCTCCTCTCCAGCACAGAGTGACGCCAAAGCAGAGTCTTAGAGTGACACAGGAATGTTTGTGCCAGCAGAATGAGGCGCACTCATGTTACAGCACTTTCCAAAACCAAGCCAGTACATTTGGTGAATCCTTTCCAAGGAGGCTGATCAGATTACTTAAGATCAAATGAATGTTGTGGATGCTCCAGTGAAACACGTTGACAAATAATACTGCTCTCTACTGTGCATTTAAAAGAGAAACCTGTTTTTATGAAATAAAAATAAATTTTGCATGCATTTTGGTTTTCATCACCTGTGAACTGAATACTGCAGGACAACAAGTTTGTGGCCTAATATCTGTGGGGCAGCCAGACAGTTAAAGATGAACTTTGACTGGCCCAGAATTAAAATGCCTGAGGGCAGCTGTGTAGCTCAAGTAACTGATTAGAAACTGATACTGGAAAATGATTGGGAACTAAACTCCAGGAGGTCACAAAACGACTATAAGCAAGGTAATATCTTTTTCCACCATGATCCAGGCCATTCTAGAGTATGATCACAGCCTTCCATAGCATGGTCTAGAAGAACTAGCACCAATACCCTGCTCAGTACACCTGGAAGAAGGCACATTTCTAAGGAACAAGCTGCACCTATGTACCTAATATTTTAGAAAAATTAGAATAATATATCTAATGTTTTAGAATATCAGTCTGGTTTGCCTGGATACTATTGTGTCTCATGGAGTTCTACTGGGTGCACTGTGCCAAAGACATTTCTTTCCTTCTTCCCTCACTCTTGCTCTCTTTCCTTCAGCAAAAAAGAATTCACTCCCTAGACGTATTTCGTCCTCTAAACTGAAGGAAGCAGAGCCAGTCTGTGATCACTGGATAACAGGTCTCTTTCTTCAGGAATGGTCCAAATACTGACACTTGCCTGTCTTCATCCTTTAACTTCCCCAGAGCAGCACGGGGAGGCATGTTGCAGGCTCTGGAGAAGTAGGCAACCAGACAATGCAGTGTTGCACCCAAGCCACTAACAAGTTCTGGCTGCCTGATCAAACCTCTGGCATAGCTGGCGAGACTTCCAGTCTGATTTTGTGGTTTCATGTGAAAACACTGCATGGGTGAGGTGGTAAGAACAAATTTAACAGGGAGCTTAGGAAAGGAAGCTGTCAGAAAAAAACATCCACAAATTCCTGAACCCATAATGGGGTATCTACATGAGCGAAACCCGGAGAACTCCATCCAGGCCAGCACTGAGCACTTAGCACTCACTGAAGATCTATGTTAGTGTGCCTTGAACAGTGCAGACCGATAGTACTGGAAATAAAACTAAGTTAGTACAGCCAGGGAAGCAGAGACTCTTGTTGTTTAGGCAGGCAAGTATAAGAGGGCACTCTTAACACTTCCCTTCTACGTTTGAGGTCTTGCAGTTTGATGTCCTGCACAAGTGCTGACACCATCTACAGATTTTTTTGACAGCCAAATAAAAAAATAAACAGTTTCCCACCCTGAAAAAAACCCACTAGGAACTGAATTGTGATAATAAAAGTGAGTAGTAGCAAACACTGTCTGAGCTGTCAGGTTACAAACAATGCTCATGAAACCTTCGTGGCCAGGATCAATAAAAGAAAAGGCCATTGCTCTTGAGAGCCAAGAACCATTAGAAAAATAAAAAGCTTTCTATCTCGGAGCATTTATGTCTAGATTTCATGTTCCACTCTTTCTTCCCTGGATTAAGCAAGCAAGTTCACTTCTAATTTCCAGTGCTGCAACAACAAAACCAAGCCACAGATTGCCTGGGAAGGCCTTCCATGACCTTGAAGCCTATTCTGTAGAGCCACGTGAGTACTTCATATAAATGTCCAATATCATCACAATTTAGGGCTTAAGTTTTCTTACCACAACAATCAATTTCCTAATGCACATGTGTGCCTTTTCCATTTGAATGGATTTCCAATGTTTGCAAATTTTTATACAAATAAGTGAGCACTTCCATCTCTGTGCTCTTTATGGCAACTCTTGTTGTTTTTCCACAGTAGTAGAACACTCCACTCCAGTTTCGTCCTGCAAGCCATATCTAAAAATGTCACAGTGATCTCTCAGCACAGTCATGTTCCTGTTAACCAAGTCCCAGGAGATTCTGCCTTTCTTCTGTTTTGTTCTTATTTGGTTGAAAGTTCCTATCCCTTGTCACTGTTACCATATTTTTCATGTTAACTGTTATTCGTCTCACCAATACAATACCTATAAATTATTTTTTTTTGGAAGAAAGTATATTGCACTGTGAATTTTGGGAAGGTGACTAAATTGACAGAATCTTTTCATCCCTAAGTAAGTTAACCCATTTGTGTCCAGTAAAAAAGTGATTTTTCAAGATTAATATAAGTTCCTGAATATTGTGGAGATGCCTTTTGTTCAAGTCTTTGGGATAGTGGATCTTTAATAGGGTTCCATGCATACATCAGTTGGCTGAGATCACATGCTGATAAGCTTTAGCTTGTATAAATACTGAACTGTGCAGAGCAAAAGCCAGCTTAATGCCTCTGAGCACAACTCTTTGAATAGCCCCTAATCATCTAAGAAAAAAAACATTGTTAAAAAAATAAATTACTTTTTAGTTCTTGTCACTGCTTTTTCCCATATAACTCTAGAGAGGTTGAATGGGTCACCAAGATGAACTAAGAGCTCACACCATAAAGCAGCTGAAGAGAAGATTCCATGAATTGTGTAAGTTCAGAGCAAAAACATGACCTATGAAAGCTCTCCCTTGTTAAAAAAGCACGTTTCTGACCTATCTGTGCTTGCTAGTACTTCATTTTACTTTACACCATTTTTCTTCTTTTCAAAATGAATTTTTAGCTCATCTACATCTATTATCTAGGCAAGCACATTTCAGTCTGTGGAACACTCCATTACTGCTTTCTTTGGCTGGCCATTATCCACATAACTCGATTATCTGAATTCTATACTATTGTTTTGGAATCAAGAAACAGGGTAAGGCTTAAAAAAACAGAAGAAACAATAAATGGAGCATGAAAGCAATTAATAATGGTACTTCTACTAGTTTTCTTTTTTTTTCTTTTAGTCACACTTTTGGAAACTTTTCTTCTGTGTGGAAGGAGAGCTTTTGGATTGCAGTTATAAATACTGGGCCAATAGATGCAGACACTGGACCAGTTTTCAGATCCACTATTGGGGAAAATTAATTCCAAGTATACAACAACCCAAAGCATAATAAGCAGCATTTTCTCTCAATGTAAAAACACAAGGATCCAACAGAAAAGCAGACAGAAGTTCTAAAATAATCAGAAAGGATTTTCCTTAACTTTTAAATACAAAATAATCCAGAACAATGTAAATCTTTATAAAAAAGTTGTCTTACATATATTCATAATAAAACTAGCATGCACTAGAGTGGAGAAAAAGAAAAGCTGGAGTTGGCCACAGAAATGAGAATTCAACTACACACATCAAGGTAGTGCCCCAGCTTCCCTCAACAGCTCTGGAAGACTGTTTTCTTCTGGCTTCTGATATAATGCCCATTTCAGCACATTTAGGATTAGGCTACTGGTTTCTTTTGACTGTTTGGTTTCTCATTAATCTTCCCTAAGCACACATGAGGCACATGTGCACATCATATGAGGTGGCAGCAATTATTCCATGCATCCTCCTACCTCCCCTGCATTCACTGGAACAGGCAGACCACACTGAGGAAAATCTTAAACCTGCAACAACTGAAAATCTCAAGTCCTTTAAATTAAACTCTTTTCCGGAAAATATAGTTCTACATTTCCAGGAAATATGTAACTCTACCCAGTGTTTTCACAAAAGCTAACATATATGCTGCAGTTTTGTTAGCATCATTCTCCATTTTGTACTGGTTTTATACACTACCTGGGGCACTCCCTTAAAGATCAACTTAAAAGGTAAAGCCATGAGGGAAATTCAGGCATACATTTTGCTTTGGAATACACTGCTCTGTCTTGGAAAACTTAGCTAAAGATCTTATTCCCTTAGGTATTAGTCTGTTCCTGATACTGATTAGCCCTACTGCACATTCCTGGATGAGATTTTTTGGCATATTCTAACTTGTACTTCCACATTACGAGCTTCTTTCTGTACCAGTCTTTGCCTGCCCTATGTAAAAATCATCTTCTCCATAATGCAATAAAATTAGCAGCTACTTTGCCTTCTGTAATTATGGAGCTTTAAATATTAATGCATTTATTACAGAAATTCTCTTTGCAAGGTTATCTGACTTGAGAACAAGTTTCCTTGGAAGCAACATTAACCAGGAAAAGTTAAAAGACCTATTATCTGCTTTCTCAATGGCAAGACAACTTCTATCACATCTCTATGAGAAAACCTGCCCTCACCATGTTCTACTGACTCCCTTTCCTGCACTTGGGCTACACCTTTCTCCTTCTGCCAGATGAAAAGTGGACACTTTCAGACTCTCTGGTGCCAGACCATCAGCACAAATTCTCAGCCTGCTGGGACTGTTCTCCCTGTGAATGACAGGCTCCTCCCATGCACCCATAACACTTATTTCACTGGTCATTTCTAGAACGGTGGTTCATAAATGAACCAAACAAAACTGTCTTGTCCATATGGGAATAAACAAAAGAAACATCACTGTTGAATTTAACAGAAGCTTGAGTGGATCTGTATTCAATGGGCTAAATTCCAACATAACAACCATCCAATTTCTACGAGAATCAGAGCAGATTTTGGCTTTCCATCTCATATCTATGTCATGAGCACTTCAAATAAATCTGACAGGCAGAGATAAAACACTTATAACTCAGTCACGAGTTTCATAGGATGCCCTTAGGAATGCAAAGCCTTTAACTTATATCAACATACTTTTGAAGAGTGAGGCTCAGGTTGTGGCTGGCTGATTTGATCTTGTTCTGGGCCTCAAGGTGGGTCATGCTGTCAGTGTTGACTCCATCAATGGCCACCACAAGGTCCCCCTGGTTCATCTGTGACTGTGCTGCCTTGCTGCCAGGGGTGATCTGTGCAGGAAAACAAAAAAAGTTCTCATCAGGATAAGTTATTCTGTACACAAAACAGTTGGAGAACTCACCCTGAATTATAATACAGAATACATACAGCAATAAATACACTAATAGATACAACACTAGTTGTATCTACTATTGCATGGGTGAAACAACAACATTTGTGGCAATTAAACAAATCAAAGTTAACTTACATTTCTGCAAAGGTCCAGGACAACATCTACTTGTCATTACTTCCATTTTGAGAGGTTAAGCCCAATGTAGTGGTTCCCTTACTACCTATTCTCTCTTCCTCAAGGAGATAATTATCACTATTTATATTATAGTAGTATATAGAGACTTTACTCAGAAGCAGAAAACTAATGAACTACCACCTAATGTATGATTTTATTGTATTTTTCCTCCTAAAAGCCATTTTACCCAAATTAATTCATTTAATTGAGCAGACAGAAAATGATTGCATGTGAGGGGCCTTGGACATGCTTTGCTTCTTTTATAGCAAGCTTTATAGGATAACCTCACCTACATACAACTACAGGATAACCTCACCTACACACAAGTACAGCTCCATTACCAAGGCAGATCACTACATCCCCAAGATGATCTCAGCAACCTGTTGGACCTCACACTCCAAAGACAGACTGGCACTGCTAGAAATAAAAAGCCAGAATGCTTCAACTAGAAATGCAACCACTGACACAACAGTTCAGAATTCTGGTCATTCACTATGGTAACACATTTTGTTAGCTCTAGGTACCTTGTGAACTGCATCTTCTCCAAATGGACAGTGCCCTGACCTCAGCTCTACACAGCAGTCTCAGCTTCCATATGGATGACACCAACACAGCTACTTATGAAACTTGACTCCACTGAGGAACTCCAACTAAAACAGAAGAGCCTTCACACACAGTCAGCCAGACAAGTTTTAGTGAACACATTGGAGCTGTCCTCTGCTTTCAGCACGCAGAACTTGAAGCACATGGACAAAAGCTATAGGTCTTTGCTCTTATTTTTAGAGACTCGCTGACTTACATTCCTCACTTCTAAGAAAGCCCAAGGATCTTCTGAAATACTACAACAAAGGCTGCATTCAAAAATTCTGTTCCTTCAGTACAGAGGACATAAAAGAAAGATGTGTTTGATTATGAGCCAAAATTCCCCTGTGAATTCAGCCAGGCTGAAACTGTGAAGTTAAATTCTTAGGGAAACCAAAACCCAACAAAAATTCAAACACTTCTAAGTGTGAAGTGGAATTCCTTAACTTCCCTTCCCTAATATGACCTCAAAACACTTATAAATATGTACATACGCAAAATGAAAAACTCCTTCCAAAACAATTCCCCAGACTGCTTATTTATGCTCTTCATTGGCAAAGAAAAATAAGCAAAAGAAGGGAAAAACCCCAAGCCTTTCTTCACATCCCATTAAAGGTGTTCAGTACTGAGGCTGGCAGTCTAATTTACAGTGTAGCCTGACAGTGGGAGCTGTCAATTTACTAGAACACAAGCTTTAGTATCAGGGAGCTAAAACACAGCTCCCTGCTTACTCAGACATTACTTAAAACAAAGACTACTTTCAAGCTAGGCACTGTAAATAACATCCCAGAACTGATCTGACTGGAAGGGACAAGTTTTTATACCTTTTCATTAGAGATAGAAGCAATAAGAGTTCTATGTTTTCTGAGTGAAAGACAGCCACAGTTATAATGTTCTCATGCAAGCAGAAGTGACTGATAATGGCAGCACCACCCCACAAAGTATTTTTCTTGTGTTAGAGCATCAAGGGGTGGGAGAAATATTTTGTGGTAGTTTCAAAGATGGAGTTTTATTCTATAGTCTAATACACCCTCATAGAAAGAGATTAATAGAAACAAGAGATTCATGTTACAAACATTGTTTTCCTAACCTATTATAAAAACATTAGCTTCTATGCATTTTATTGACTTGCATTGTGCCAAGTACACAGAATCCAGAAGCCTACAAAGAATACAGATTATTTGCATACCCACATGTACTTGTACCTGCTCAGTCCTCCAAATATGTCAAGAAACAGAATTTGAAATAAAATAAGAGGTCAGGAAAGGGCAAAATGTGAACTAATGCCAAACTCATTTGTCTGAGTCAGGAAGACCTGAATTCATCAAGTAGGACACTTCAATCTTTCTCAAATTATCCTTTTTCTCTATTAACATGAACTGTTTGCCAGTCAGGCAGACACCAAGGCTTGAGCCTGCTTGATAGAGCTTTTTTAATAAATAATCACCACACAACACTTTTCCAAGACTCTACCTTTTACTTGCTCATCAAATATGCAAGTTCTTGCCACAAAACATTAACTGTGTGATGCTGGTGTTTCCAGTAGCCAGACAGCTGGTTCCAAATTCTGGGACACCCCTGCCACACACACATACACACTTTCTCTCATCAAGAACAAAGACTGGTTTTTGTACATCAACCCAGTTACTGAAAGTCAAATGTCTACCCTAATATGGCAACTCCTACTTAACCCATATATTTCCCTTTCCACTCCCCAGTGATGGTTCAAACAAAATAAGCCCAGAGAAACAGAGTTTCCACAGAAAGGATAAACCAGTCTAGATCTGGCACTAGTTTAACACAGCTGTAACACACGGACTTCCTCTCACTTTCTCTGACTTCTGCTTTTAGCAGCCCAAAATGTTATATCTTAAAGATACAGCTTAAAGATACAACTGTCCTAGAATTACAGTTAATTTAGAGGGAGTGGATGGTTATAACTACTGACCTGATTTCACCTACTATAGTGGGATATTTTCTGCATAACACTTCTGGAAAACACTACCTAAATGAAAAAAATACATTCAATCAGAAGAATCTCTTGAACAAAAGTCCTGAGTGATTTTGAATTTGTGATTTATATGAATTTATAACTATAGCCATTGCAACACCCTTTCTGAGGCAAAGAGGTCCAGGAGAACCATACTGTGAGAGACAAGGAAAAGATCTCAATCTTGGCTTACCAGCCATTGTTCTTATATTTGAAAAGTAAAAGAGGGGATTTGCAGTCATTTCTCCAACTAAGATTAATGGTAGCAAATTCTGGGCTTAAATTCAGCTTATCCTAACTTCATAGACAGCAAGACTCACAAATATAAAAGATGGACCTAATTTATTGTATCAGTAATTCAGAAAAATAATAAGTATCAGGAAAGAGTTACTTTCCCCCCCAGTATTTCCACTGTCTAAAAGCATGCTAGATTGTTTGGTCCTGTAGAGCTTTATATAGAAGGCACTATTAAGGACTGGATGCAGAATCTGTATAAAACATTCAAAAACTGAAGTACAAAATTATACCTATTTTAGTTACAAGCTGAGAGGCATCTCTGAGAGAGTTTCAAGAGAAGCCACAGCATGCATTAACAGCAGACATTGAGAACAGTCAGTAATTGTTGGGGACAAAATACCAGCGTACAGATGGAGATATAGGGCAGCCAGATCTGAAGTGTCAAGGCACTTTCAAGACTATCTTGTTCCCATTTTTAAAGATCCAGCTGAAAGGAATGGAATGCAAAGTGTTTATCTTTTATCTGTTGGTATTTTCCTTTGAAAATTCATCTCTGATCTACTAAAATTTACTAAATATAATCACAAGCAGAGAAGAGCTCACTGTGTATTTGTGAAATCTTTAGGGAATATTTTCTATTTAAAAATATTTTTTAAAAATATTTTTGAAGGACAAATGTTAATTAACCCTTGGAATTAGAATGCAAATCTAGGTCTGTCTACACAGAAGACAGTAGGGTTCTAGTCTGCTCTCATCTCAGCCTCTCTTCTATGAACACAGGTAACAGAGAGAAACATATAACTCTCTAGGCCAAATATGCATTTTTCAATTTGACCACCATCTTTTTTCTTAAAAAATCTAGACTATTTCAGAAAACCTTTGTAATAGTCTTAGCTTACTTGCTGTGGATTACAACAGAGCTTTCAGTAGCTGGGTGCTGCAAATGCCTTTATTTAAGGCTACAGAGTTCACCAGAGATTCAAGGCACGGCCAGTTCTGTCAACTGATTTACAAAATCCAAGCCAAGGTACCACCGACAGATCTAATTTTAATAGTGTTTCTTCAGTGCCTCAAGCCCAAGCACAGACTTCATATTGAAAAGGCAAGCATCTTTCACGCCTCTCAGAAAAGCAGAGGAACATGTGCTGCTTCAGAGATGGGATTTTTCAGCCCTCACACGTTTCCTACGAGGCAGACATCTGACTTCCAATATCCCTGGCTTAAAGCAAGTGGGCAGGCTGGAAGTATCACATGTTACATTCAATGCACCACAGAGAATTCTTACTACTCTCTGCTGTGAGCAGCTCTGTATTCTGGGTGAATATATAGCACCGCAGTGACAGCTGTGCCCTAAAAAAGTACGTCTGCACTGGGTTCAGAGTAAATACGACTTAGCCAGAGCTCTGGGAGGCAGTGTACAAAGTGCAGCTGCTGTACCACCTTGAGAACTGCACATGTTCCCATCCAAGGCCTCTTAGCTCCACTCCAAGTGGGGGAGAGATAGGGATCAGGCAGCATTTGAGTGGATGAGTGCTAAAATACTAACGAGAATGCCTGTATAAACAGATGGATGGACACAGCCTTCCTACCCCCAAGGGACTGCTGGTTTACAAGGCACACAGAAATACAAAGGAAGGCCTATACAACTGAGAAGATGTTAATATGGTAGCCTGCAGCATTAGCCAGGGCCTCTTCTTTGTCCAGGACTTCAGCTATGCCTGACCTCAACCCTAAAATCAACAACTTATATTTTCTGCTTCTCATTTAAGAAAAACATTTCAGAGAATCAAATATTCACTAGCACTAGAATAGGCAAAAGCACAGGGAACAAACACCCTCTCCTCTTCAAGATCTCTGGAATAAAAGAAATTATTTAAAGAGAATGTTCCTTTCCATAATCAAAAATTCAGAGACATGACATAAACTACCAGCGACCATAGTCTGTAATATGCTCT